TCCACATCTTCGGCCTCCTTTTCTTTTTGACCTATGGCCCGAAGACGCTGTAGCCTCCTCTTTTGAGAGCGAGATAAGCCAGAAGGTATCCACTTCGGCTGTGATTGTTTTCCAGGAGCTAAGCAATGATTCTTCATATTTTTGGTCGAAGTGGAAGCTCCTATGTTGCTCACAATTTTCCTACTCTTCTCCAATGCCCCCCGGTCAGACGGCCTCTGGGCCCGGTCAGACCGGCCACAAGCCGTCGGTCAGACCGGCCGTAGTCTGGCGGTTAGACCAGCCAACTAGCTTGGTTAGACCACCGATGTTGACAGCAACGGCGTCGGCTTCAGTCTTCTCCGCTTGTATAGTTTTCGCCGCATCTTCAGTAGGTACTTGAACATCTTGAGATTTCTCCTTGATAGCAACGACCTCCGGAGCTTTGGCTTCTTTCCTCACCCACACCTTTTTCACCTTTGATCCACCGGACCGATTCTTTTGTGAGAAACGGTCTTGTCTTGAGTTAGAATTACTTGGTACTGTCCTAGGTGATTGCTTCCATCCTTGATGACACGGCATAGGTGGTTGAGGCATCCATGGCATGTAATACATAAAAGGATAACCAAATGGTGACATTGGATGTGGATACCATGGCATCACAACCGGAGGTTTGTATGGAGTTGTTATAGTTGATGGCTCCGATTGCTTTGGTGTTTGACCAAATCTCTCCCTACGAGATGATCTTGGTCTTTTTGAATCACTAGTTTGATTATCAAATCGTTGACCGGCTAATCCTTTCTTGTACTTACCCATAAGCATCTCAAAAGTGAGCTTCGGCTTTTTGGTCTTTTGGGAACTAGATGACTCATCCTTTGCAACTTTATGATCTTCGGCCTTCGCATTTTTGATCCTATTCTTAGGCCGAGGATCCCCAATAATAACACTTTTCCCTTTCCATTTGTCATCATCAATAGGACTAATAGGGAAAGGATTACTAACAATTCCGGTCTTAGGCATAGGTGTAACCGAAATAGTCTCACAAGTGACCGATAAATCATCAACCGGTCTTTTCTCTATCAAGCTTGCATCTTTAAAATAATCATGAAACTCATGCTCCATTTGTGACCATGTAGAAATTGAATTAGGAGCAAGTAAACTATACCATGTAGATGCAAAGTTTGACAAAGAAAGAGGAAACAATTTTAACTTAAGCAAATCATCACTACCGGCCTTACCACATTGTTCAATAAATTGGCCGATATGCTCCTTTGTTGTTCTAGTATCCTCACCTATGAATTTTGTGAAGTTGGGCACCTCAAATCCTTGCGGATATGGGACCGAATCTACATGTTCAGGATACGGCCTTTGATACGTATGCATAGCTACTTTGGGTTCTATCTCACTACTATCCCGCAAGACATTGTCATCATCTTTTCCAACATCCACATAACCGATTAGTGACTCGGTCTTAGGTGATAATGCTATGCTTGTGATATAACCTGAACCGTCACTTAGTTCGGCTATATTTTCAATGATGCTATTCTCTAAGCTAGCAACACAATCCGAACCATTACTTGGTTCGGCTATTCCATCGTTGTCTAAACTAGTAACAAAATCCGAACCAATACTTGGTTCGGCTATAATGGTTGTTGCATTATCATCCAAGCTAGTAAGACAATCCGGACCAACATTTGATTCAGCTATACTTGTCACAGCATCATTGCACAAATTATTAACACAATCCGAACCATCGCTTGGTTCGGCTATGCATGATATTGCATTTTCATCTAAACTAGCTTGTAAGCTATTGTCATCCACTCGGCTTTCCTGAGCCAGAGCTTCATGCAACACATGATCAATATCAAGAAATATCTGGCCATTCAATTTCTCTTTAATAGAATCAAGCAATCCATTATATGCAATGTCGGCCAAATCTTTGTCAGTTATTTTCAAATTGAAGCATCGGTTTTTAACATCTCCAATCCTTTCAATATAATCAACAACAGATTCATTGTATTTATGTCTAACCAATGTTAAATCAGACAACTTAAGCTCAGTTTCATTAGTGTGAAAATAATCATGAAATTTTTGTTCTAATTGAGCCCAAGCAGAAATAGAATTTGATGGTAAAGAAGTAAACCATGTAAAAGCAGTACCAGACAAAGATAAAGAAAACAAGCGCAATTTACATGTATCCATACTACTAGCCCTACCACATTGCGCTAAGAATTGACCTACATGTTCGCATGTGGTCCTACTATCCTTACCACTAAACTTGGCAAATTCAGGAATTTTATAATCAGGAGGATATGGGACAACATCATAAAAATTAGGATACGGCATTTGGTAAACCCTAGCATGATTCCTTACCTCCATGATTTCAGGCCTTGGTGGATTTGGTGGTGGATTTGATGGCCTAAAAGGTGGTTGTTGCGGCGCAATATTGTCATATTGGCCGTACCCGGTGTCATGAGAATATCCTCTATTATGATCATTGTAAGCATTAGGGACATGTGGAGTAGCATGACTAACAGTATTAACAGATGATGAATAATAATTAAAATCAGCACTGCTAGTCGTGGTATGAAAACCTGGAGAAATTTCCAGGGAACCAGTCTGAGGTATGACCGGCCAAGCACCCAGTCTGACCAGCCCATGCCCAGTCTGACCGGTGGTCAATGGTACGGTCAGACCGGCCACAGGAGGCGCGATCTGGCCAGGATAGGACACGGTCTGACCGTTTATGGTAGGCATGGTCTGACCGGCGTAGTACACGGTCTGACCGGCCATGGTGGGCACGGTCTAACCGGCATAGGATGCGGTTAGACCGGTGTCATGACCAGTCATACCGTTATCTAGGTTTTGCATATAGCCGATTCCTGTGTAATCAGCCGTATAAACACTCATTGACCCCCCATAGCATTATAAGCATATTGTATAGGAGTAAAACTAGAAGTAGTATATACATCTACACAGTGATTATTAGCAAAGGACGGGTTGGGCGAATCGGAGGTTACCTTTGGTAAAACTACAACTTGAGGAAGCGAGACGTTTTCCTTCACGATGCCTTGATTGGTCCTGATGTATGATTTCATCAACAGCTCCTGCGTAACCACCATCATCTTGTGTTGCTCCGCGTCAAGATCCTCCCATGTGACCTCGTCGATCTTATTCCCGCTCATCATGGTTGATGAAGAAATTCCTTGATTAATTCCGGCCATATAGATCATAGCCGAAATCGCTGACCGAATAGATTAATATACGGTCTTGTAATTTTCCTTGTATGCTACTGTACTTAGCAAAAAAATTGGAGAATTTGAAGCTTCTCGGGAATAACCGATATAGCAGGAATCGGCTTTTTTTTTATGTGAACAGAAGTAGATCGGCTTGGATAGCCTGATCTTTGTTTTAGCACGTGCACAGTAATAAAAAGAAACAAAGCTCCTGCTGCTTGTCTGCCAGGTAGATCGGCTCTAGAAGCCTGATATTTTCTCTGTTTGCCTTATGAAACAAAAAGAAACGAGGCCATCGAGCCGGCCTCTGCCTCCTGACGATGATCCTCGGTATACGCGGCGTGCTGAACGGCAAGTATTCAGATGGATTCAGTGACGACTAGATAATTAACTTCGCCGCCGAAACTCCTGATTTGATGAACAGTAATTACTAGATTAAACGAAATTCGGCCGTGATATGGCCGATTAGATCGTTCCCCAGCGGAGTCGTCAAAAATCACGTTGGCAACTTTTTATGACAAGTCGACAAGTACGATCGCAACACCTAAACGCCTTGTGGTGATATGGAGTCGCCAACCACCTCAATCTAGCCAAAGGGCCAGATCAACATGGGTACTGTAGAAAAACAGCTAAACCGACTAGCGGAGCCGATTTAGAGCTCAAAATCAGCCTCTAGGCCGATTTAGATCGATATGAGGATAACTACCCGTCTCGTGGGCAAACGGAAGGTTTTCAGGACAAACCTATAAAAGGGTGTCGCAGTCTCGCAGCGGCGACGGACGGTTTACGGCGCAAACCGACAAAGATGGACTAAATTAGGGTAAAATAGAAAACATAGTAAAAGAACTATTCAAGTAGATTGTATTCGGGGGTTTTACAGTGAACCGGCCTTGTCCCTTAAATAGGGATAGAAACCAAAGGAAACACGAAACATGCCTTCCCAAGTAAGGAAACCCGAGACCCGACGAAAACAGACTCGGACTCGGACCCTGACGGTCTAACCGCCCACATACCTGCGGTCAGACCGGCCCTACTAGCCGGTCAGACCGCCCATACACCTGTGGTCTGACCGGCCCTGTGAAGGAAACCCGTCACTTTCTAAACTTTGGCAATTTTTCCCTATTTCATCCATAGGTGCCAAATTTAGATGTAAACAGAAAGAATCAGATACATGTTCATCATAACAGATTAGTCTACCTTATATTCTCATGCCATATACCCCAACAAAGCTCACCAAGAATCCTTGATTTCTGAAAAAACCCATGCAGTCAAGTAACACTTGCTGCAAATTGAGGAACTCACCAAATACCTAGAATGAAAGAATGAAACTAAGGTACCATCCATGCAACAGATAAAAGGAGATCCTAAAACAGGTTTAAGCCCAGATTAACTTCACATGACAAAGTAGTCCCAAAGTCAAACAAACCCAGATATTTTGTCATTTTCGAAATAAAACTATTTCAATAACATGCTTATTTTTATTGCTTTACAATTACAATATATCATAGGCCTTTTGGCCCTTCAGACAAGCATTGTGGGACAAAGATATGGGGTCAGCCAAGTAAAACAGCCTGTGCCGATGAACAGGTCACCCCGATAGGTATGGTGCATATTAGAAATTTAAAATATTAGATACACCCATGAGCTCTCCTAAGCAAAGCTATATAAAAAACTGAAGGTTACTTATTGTGGTAAAAACTAGAAACTTGAACCAAGATAAAACAAAAAATTGCTCTAAAACAAATTTGACCAGAGTATCTAGAACTGAGTATATTGGCAAAACATGTAGACTGAGATGTACAAAATGCAGGCAAAACAAGTTCTTTTCAGCTGCAGATGATGTGATCGTTGGTCAGTAGTCTGGTGTGCTAGACAAGGAGAAATAATGCTAAGTACAATACAAATAGTTATGGTCAATCGCATTTCCAATCACAGCATCATTATTAAGGACAAGGTCAAAGCTTTCTCAGCTGTCACCAAACAAGACTTGGTATGGCTTGTTTACTTAATTCTCTGAAGGAGAAAAAATATAGATTCCAAGGAAATTTGAGTAAATAATGTACCCATAGAAAATCTCTACGGATTTTGCAAAGAAAATTGATATATTAGCTACTTAGCTGAAAATTTTGACTCCTTGTTACAACCTGACAAACAGGCAAACAACGGAATATTAGCTTGAGCTAGCCTGACTGTCAGTAACAGAACCAGTGATCTGATAGACAGATATCCAGCAGAGATTATTGTAAGACCATCCAACTGGAATTCAAGTTGTAAGCTTAGAAAGAAATAGGGACATTGTATACTCACTACCATAAAGATAAACAGAAACTGAACAAGAGTTTGTCTTCTACCCTGTAAAGTGCCAAAGAAGAAGCTCTATCTAAAATTCGTCTTGACCTGATGTGGTGACCACCTTGGAAGACTCGGAAAGTTGGAAGACTTTAGCAAGTCAAGCATGGAATAGTCTTACTGACAGACCAGTTCAATCTTAGAAAAAGTATGTGGCTATCATGGTCTTTCTTAGAATGGAGGATGCAAGGGATGTTGTATGTATATGCAAATTTCAGTTCACAAAATCCAGGTGGTATATAGAAGGCCAGCTAAGACAATGACCATTTACCTACAGATACTATTCCTCGTGACATTTTTACTTAGAAATAACTTGTAAGGTGGGCAGGATCTCGAGTTGACTTGACCTTACAAGTTCAAAAAAAAATAACTTGTAAGGTCAAGTCAACTCTTCGGTGTGCAATAAAAAGTAGGAAATGGAAGCAATAATCAGAACAAGCAATATGGCACCTCCACTCTTCTTGCTCTCCCTCCAATTGTTGGTGCTACTGTCCTCCCCATCTGCTCAAGCTCAGAACATCAGCTTGGGCACATCATTAACAACCCAAGGGCCAAACAACGCATGGCTCTCGCCATCAGGCGACTTCGCGTTTGGATTCCGGCCCATCGATGGCAACTCCTCCTTCTACCTCCTCGCCATCTGGTTCAACAAGATCAGCGACAAGACGGCAACATGGTATGCCAAGACCAGTGAGCAAGAACCACAGCCGATACAAGTGCCATCTGGCTCCATCCTCCAGTTTACCTCAACTGGTGTACTTTCTCTCCGAGATCCCACCAATAGAGAGGTATGGAATCCAGGAGCAACTGGTGCACCCTATGCCAGCATGCTCGACACCGGGAATTTTGTGATTGCTGCTGCAGGAGGCTCTACTATCAGCTGGGAAACTTTCAAGAACCCAACAGACACCATCCTGGTCACACAAGCGCTGTCCCCTGGAATGAAGCTCCGCAGCCGACTCCTTACCACAGATTACTCCAATGGCAGGTTTCTTCTTAACATGGAAACTCAACGAGCTGCACTTTATACCATGGCAGTTCCATCTGGAAACCTTTATGACCCATATTGGTCCACACCCATAGATGAGAATGTCACAAATCAGGTCACCAATCTGGTGTTCAATACTACCGGTAGGATATACGTGAGCATGAAGAATGGAACACAATTCAACATGACATCTGGGGTGATCCGCTCCATGGAGGACTACTACCATCGTGCTACGCTTGACCCAGATGGTGTGTTCAGGCAATATGTGTACCCGAAGAAGCCCAGCAGCATGAGTCAGGCATGGACAGCAGTGAGCATCCAACCTGAAAACATCTGCAATGCTCAGACAAAAGTAGGCAGTGGCACCTGTGGATTCAATAGTTACTGCATGTTTGATGGCAGCAACAACCAGACAAGCTGTGTGTGCCCGGAGCAGTACTCGTTCTTTGATGAGGTGAGGAAGTACAGAGGCTGCAGACCGGACTTCGAGCTACAAAGCTGTGATTTGGATGAGGCAGCTTCCATGGCACAGTATGAGTTTAACTTGGTTAATAATGTGGATTGGCCTCAGGCTGACTATGAGTGGTACACTCCCATAGACATGGATGAATGTCGACGGCTCTGCCTGATTGATTGCTTCTGTGCTGTTGCTGTATTCCATGAAAACACCTGCTGGAAGAAGAAGCTCCCTCTATCAAACGGGATCATGGGGAGTGGAGTGCAGAGAACAGTTCTTATCAAGGTGCCAAAGAGCAACAGTTCGCAGCCAGAGCTCAGAAAGTCTAGAAAATGGAAGAGTGACAAGAAGCTCTGGATCCTAGGAAGTTCGTTGCTTCTCGGAGGCTCTGTGATAGCGAATTTTGCCTTGAGTTCTGTTCTTCTTTTCGGTACTTACTGTACAATCACCAGAAAGGATGTCCAGCCATTGCAACCATCACGAGACCCAGGATTACCCCTCAAAGCTTTCAGTTATGCAGAGCTTGAGAAGGCAACGGACGGATTCAAGGAGGTGTTGGGCACAGGTGCATCTGGTATTGTGTACAAAGGCCAGCTGCAAGATGAGTTAGGAACTTACATTGCTGTCAAGAAAATTGATAAGATTCAGCATGAGACTGAAAAGGAGTTTGCTGTGGAGGTCCAAACCATTGGACGGACGTACCATAAGAACCTGGTCCGGATGCTAGGATTCTGCAATGAAGGAACTGAGAGACTGTTGGTGTATGAATTCATGGTTAATGGATCGCTCAACAGATTCCTGTTTAGTGGTGTCAGGCCTCTGTGGAGTCTTCGAGTTCAACTTGCTCTCGGTGTCGCAAGGGGGCTGCTATACTTACATGAGGAATGCAGCACACAGATCATCCACTGTGACATAAAGCCCCAAAATATCCTTCTTGATGATAATTTCATAGCAAAGATTTCAGACTTTGGCTTAGCGAAACTACTCCGAACCAACCAAACACAGACATATACGGGTATCCGTGGTACCCGCGGATATGTTGCCCCTGAGTGGTTCAAGAACGTCGGGATCACTGCCAAGGTGGATGTGTACAGCTTTGGGGTCATTCTTCTGGAACTCATCTGTTGCCGGCAAAATGTGGAAATGGAGGCTGCAGAAGAAGAGCAAAGTATTCTTACTTACTGGGCAAATGACTGTTATAGGTGTGGCAGGGTCGACCTGCTGGTAGATGGTGATGATGAGGCGAAGTTAAACATCAAGAAGGTTGAAAGGTTTGTAGCAGTGGCATTGTGGTGTCTCCAGGAGGAGCCAACTATGCGACCCAGCATCCTGAAGGTAACTCAAATGCTTGATGGAGCGGATGCAATCCCAACTCCTCCAGATTCATCTTCTGTGGTCAACTCGTTTCCATAATGTACTGCCTAGATATTGAATAATTAATGCATGTATAAACTAACATCAACATTTATGGTGTGGAAAGTTATATAATTAACAACAATTAACTTTGTTCTCAGGCGCATATTTAGCCCTGAACATGTCATAGAATTTAAACCCAAGCATTATATAATAAATTATATGCTTGGGTTACCAGTGCAAACATCGGTTCGCCAGTTCTCGCCATAATTTCTTCATGTTAATTTTAGGAGAAATTATACAATCCTTAGGAGGTACAAGAAATTCCAAAATTTGTGGTGAAAATTCCTCCTAGTACCAGAGGTACCAAGATGTACCAAATTTTATACTACAAAATGTGGTACCTCCTGTTACCTCCTGAAGGACCGTAAAATGGCTCTAATTTTAAGCATAATACTTTTACATGCATATCATGATGCTTCTACACTTCTATTGGATGTCATCAACTATCATGAAGTAAATTTTGCAGCATCGTTATTTTATCTAGTATGACCAGTCAAAGACTTCTTCCATGTTAAGGGATAAAGATCTGTGTTTTTTTTGTACTGGAACGCGTATCTAAATTTTAAATCCAAACCTGAGGAACGACAATGACATTTGTTACAGTTTGTAAACTAAATCAGAACTCGCTTGGTACTCTTAATTGGAAAGAGGTTCAGTACTTTTACTTGCAAAAGAACTTTTATTTGCAATACTTGTAACATGTTACATGTCATCAACTATCATGAAGTAAACCTGTTTGAGTCAAACATCCTCCTATTCTGGACAATCGAAAAGAGCAAAATCTTTTGCTACCACCTAATATCACCCTTCTACGCTCTAGCAGTACATGGTTGTGGCAATGGGCGTCACATAATCTTAGTAGCATTATACATATGTTCTTACCACTATTTTACATCTTCAAAGCTACACTGCCTTTTCGAAGAAAAGAAAATAAACTACGCTACCAACATTAACTTGAATAGATGCGCTCTGCACAAAACAAAGAAAAGCCTTTTTCAGCCTAAGGGGCATTGTTGGGCTCTCTTAAGAGGACACTCTCAAACAAATCCACCAAGATTCACAACATAATTCACACCTCGATTCATCCCAAGCCAGCCAAAAAAATAAATAAATCCCCACAATCCCAATAGACTGACCCTCTAAATCCCCTAAGTAGATGAGACGTACGCACCAAATTAACCAAATGCAAGATTCTAGTTGTACAAGAGTAATTTATTCGGCACTAAATCGATACCCACATATTTCACTGCAAATTCTACCCTACCTGACGCATTCCCGCAGGCAATCAATTTTTTGAGAAAATTAAAAACAAATGGGTGAAACATCAACTGCAACAATCATGCTGAACCCAGACCTTGTGGAAGCGCGTCGGGTGCCGCGGGAGACCACCGGTCCGGCGGCCGCGGCCGGCACCCAGAACCTCCCCATAGGCTGTAGCCGCTGAAACCCAGTACCCTGGACGGCCACTGGCGCGCCGCGGCCGTGCGTGGTGGGTAGGGTCCCAGACTCCCAGATGGATACGAGGAAAAGCAGAAAATAGCCAAACCGCAGGCGCATGAAGAAGACAACCGATGTGTGGTTAGTTTCTTATAACCTCCGTCCCATATTTTGGGAAAGATGGAGTACTATTTTTTAACCTCTTCAATTTAAAATTTAAAATAAAGTCGTATGTCGTTACGTTATAACGGATAAAACGGAAAAGTCCCATATAAGCATGGATGAGCTAGGATGATGATTGAAAATAAAATGTTGGATCTGGTGGTTACGTATATTATATGTACGGATGCACTGCATATGGTGGGAGGAGGACATGGAAGTAAAACCACTCCGCTTTTAAGATGGTATAGAAAAATAAAGCTTTTTTTACCGCATCATCCGAAATGGCATGGCATGTAAATGTTTGTGAGGCACACAAGGTAGCTCTCTTTGCATAGGAACATCGTTTTGTTTGGATGCCCCTCTTCTAGCATTGGGTTTTGATTTTAAAATAACAGTTTAGATTATTTGTTTTCAAAATTATATCAGAGAAAAGTTTAGAAAATAAGAAATTACGGTTGGGAATACGTTTTGGCAAAACAAATCACATAAAAAATTAGTAATATAAATGAAATTGTGGTTATATAGTAATTCAGTAAATCAAGTGTGTTGTGTTAATTTACCAAATTATTTTAGAACATTTTTACTACTAATAAGTTGCACTATTAAAGAAAATTTTTACTACTAAATTACCAAATTATTTTAGAACATTTTTACTACTAATAAGTTGCACTATTAAAGAAAAGTTTTACTACTAATTTACCATATTATTTTAGAACATTTTTACTACTAATGACCTAATATCAGAAGCCATGTTAATATTGAAAGCCATATTAGGTCATGCCCCAGCCTTTTCGGGGGTTCCTACTCGGCGCGTGTGCGCTGGCTACAGAAGCAGCACGCGGAACATTCCAGTTCAGGCCCATCCACCCATGTTGTTACCGCTAATTGCCTAATCAGTCTTATTTATAGTAATTAGTGCTAATTACGGTAATTAGGATTAAATATTAAAAAACATAAATATTTAGTTAAAAGTTTTAAAATAATTGAAAATTTTAAATTTGAGTTGAAAGTTTTTGAATTTTGAATTGAATGTTTTTGAATTTTGAAATGAAAGATTTCAAAATTTGGGATGAGAGTTTTCAAATTTGATTTGAAAGTTTTCAAATTTGAATAGAAAGTTTTCAAAATTTTGAGTTGAAAGTTTTCAAAATTTGAGATGAAAGTTTTCAAATTTGAATTGAAAGTTTTTAAATTTTGAGTTGAAAGTTTTCAAATTTTGAGTTGATTTTTTTTTTCAAATTTTGACTCGAAAGTTTCAAATTTGGGTTGAAAGTTTTAAAATTAGTGTTGAAAGTTTTTAATTTAGAATATAAAGTCTTAAATTAAATTATATTTCAAAAGCAAAAAAACAACTAGACCCTAATATGTTCCCAAAAAGGAACTAATCAAGATGCTAATTACGATCACATCGGTAATAATATATTCTGATACGTCTTAATTGCAAAAACGGAAAAGTCGGAACTAATCACGGCACAGCGCGGCGCTAATCATCTTCCTGATGACATTGACACGTGGACGTCTGCGCCAGAAACATATCTGGCACGTACGCGCTAATTAGCCTTTCCGGCCTTCTCGTGGGGACGAGCTTCCCTCGCTTCATATAAAAAAGAAAATAATTCAGTGTTGCTCATAGTCCATCAAACTAACAATTGAACTATGATAAAAAAACAACCATGTAAGGCCAAACATAGTTATTTAACTCTGAATTTGAGAAACTGGTATTCGACGAGCAACACTAAAACGAAGTGCCCCGGTATTACCTTCCTTTGTTCTGAGCCATTGCTGTCATGCCTCCTAGTCTTAGCACAATTATAATGCCACAAATACTGCAATCTGCAACCCTTTTATAGACCTGCTACCATAAAATGATCGCAACCTTCTATAGACCTGCTACCATAAAATGATCGTGTTGCAGTCAAGCCAAAAGACACATTTCCATAATCCGTAGGGTCCATCTGAAGAATCAATGAGATGTGGGAGTAGATAATACCATAAATTGAAGATAAAATGACACTACTATTCAAGATGGTGTGGAAGCCCTTAACTATTGATGAAAATGTTGTCATGAGGATTAGCTGCAAGGTGATGGCAGTCAAGGCGATCAAGGCATGACGCCCTCGTTGCCACCACCATTAGCCAGCATGAAGCTGTGAGCGCAACTTTAGTTGGCGAAGTCATACCGCTCTCGGTGAGCTCTGGGTGCCCCCATATCCTCTGTCTATCGCACAAGACGCTTGGCAATGCCCCTGAAACCTATTGTTGCCGTGCTCAGACGACGATGCAGCAAATGACAGGGAGAGGATATCTCTACGGTGCCATATCAGAATGCCCCATCATCACTGGGAATGCTAGAGCCATGGCCAAAGTCAGAGTTGTCAATAATGCCAAAACCATGACCGAGGCTACTTACCGTACCAATGCCTAATTCGCAACCGTCCTCCTCATCATTGGATTGAAATTGTGGCTGGCGCCTAAGACTTCAGATCCAAGGACCCCTAAGTCATTGAGAGGGAAGGGGGTGGAGGAGAAAATGAAGAAGATAGCCCCGCTGCCGCCATCTTCATGTGTATTGGAGACATAGAGCGCGCTTGGGTGGCTGTGAGGATGGAGAACAAGCTGTGGTGGCTTGAATTTCTTTTGCAGGGTGGCAAATAGGCTTTTTCCAGTTGAGGGACTAAATTGTTTCAAGATTGGAATGGCTAAGGTTTCACCTTTGTGCTGGAAAGAAGATGCCAAGCTCTTAACATATGTAAGCTCAGAAGTATGAGTTGGGAACACATACCCCCGATATGCAACATAGGATGGATTAGCATATAGTTAATTAAGTATTAGCTAAAACAACTTAAAAAGAATTAGCATGATTTTTTAAAGCAATTTTCTATAGAATTTTTTTAAAAAATGCACACTATTTAGTAGTTGGGAAGCATACGAGTGAAAAACAAGAAAGTTAGTAACATGTACAAAATAACACAACCTAATGGGTATACAAACTAATCTAATAGACATAAGAACCAACCAGCTGTTAGAGTGTTTAATTACTTAACGTGCGCGCGGTGAATTGATTGCAGGGCTATTTGGCATATGCAACAAAAACTTCAAGGCTTAACTCCAAATCTCCCGTATTGCAATTCAATAACTCTTGACTATCCTGGCTGTCACTACTCACTAACAAAGCACTCGTCGTCTCATGGACCGATATCCAATCCAACATTTTTTTCTTGGAACGTATTCTATACTGATAAGTTTACTAGCAAATGTCACAAAAAATTATAGAAGAAAGTGAACAAATAATTCCAATACATGCGAAATCTTATCTTTAAATTCATTATATTTCAGCCGTAACACAAAAAAGATAAAATTTTGACAGATTTTTACCCTTAAATATGTTACATTTTTCTTACGGCTAAAATATAATGAATTTGAATATGAGACTTTGCAGATATGTGTAATACTATTTCGAGTAAATGTCCAATTTTTTTCGTAATGTTTGCTAGTTGCCAGTTGGTGTGCATGGAAAGTTTGTGTGCATAGGATATGTTCCCTACTTTTTAAGGGTTAATTTGATATGTGTCATTGCAAATATGACTATTCAGATAAATACCATTATAATTCATCTATTTGTAACCATGCCACTCAAATTTACTAAATTGAAACCATGCCATCGCCGCCACGTTTTCTATCTTCTTTGTTATCTACACGTGTAACCCACCCGTCAGATTCATCTTCTTCCTTAGATCCTCCTTTATCTTCTTCCTTCCCCATCTCTCCGTCATGCCGAGGAGCGCGGGCATGATGGGAGGGGGTTGGTGACGCATATGGCGTGGCCCTGCAGGACAGCGCCGACTAAGGGAACAAGCCTGTCAGCCCCTACACGACCATGATCTGGAACGATGGGACATGCAGCACGCCATTCGCCTTCCTCCTGGCGGCAAACGAGTGGATGGGCACGCCGACCATGGCACCGGCAGCAGCGAGCAAGAGGAAGGCGAGCCGCCAGTAGGGAATTAGCGCATGAGATGGATTAGCGCATTGTTAATTAAGTATTAGAAAAACAACTTAAAAGGAATTAGTATGATTTTTTAAAAGCAATTTTCCATAGAACTTTTTAAAGTAATTTGCATAACTATGCACCCACCTTGTTCTTGGAATTCCGTGTTGGCGCCTTGCCTTCCTGCCCGCTCGCTACCGCTGATGCCGCGCTCGGCGTGTCCATCCGCTCGTTCGCCGCCGCTAGGAGGGAGGCGAAGACCGTGCTGCGTGTCCCATCATTCTAGGTCATGGAAGCGTAGGGGCTCACGGCCTCGTCGCCTTAGTCGGTGCTCTCCTATAGGGCCACACCATACACGTCGCCGACCCCCTCCCATCCTGCCCGCGCTCCTTGCCACGACGAAGAGATGGGGAAGGAAGAAGATAATGGAGGGTGTAAGGAAGAAGAAGAATCTGATGGGTGAGTCCCATGTGCCGATTCGGAAGATGGAAAACCTGACAGTGATAGCATGGTTCTAATTTCGTAAAATTTGAGTGGCACGGCTACGCATAAATGAATTATAATGGTATTTATCTGAACAGACATATTTGCAATGGCACAGATCAAATTAACCCATTTTTTAGCCATTTAACGGGGATTGAAGTTGTGCAAACTTGTAAGTAGGGGTGAAAACGGTAACAGTAATTCCCCGCCGACCGATGTTCGTTTCGACTTTCTACCAGTTGAGCCATATGGAAATGGTAATCGACCAAAATAAAAATGGAAATGGTAAAAAATATGGAAATGAAAACGGAAATGGTTTTGCTATTATACCAATCGTTTCCGTATTTACCGTATTCTTGTGGAAATTACCGTTTCTTATAATATGATAATTACCGTATTCTAAATATGTCGATATTTATAGGGCATGTCTCTACTTACAGATTGATTGACTCTTCAATCAAATATCTAACTTTTGTGCATGGCTAAAATGGAGTTAATTTATAATTTATATTGTATAAGCTTAAATTTATGTATACATATAACATACTTATGTAAAGTTAAATATATGTTTTTATAGTTTAATGTTTTCGTATTTAATACCGGTTTCCGATCTGTACCGACATTCTGTCCGTATTGTTCTGTTTCCGGTTTTCCGATATTTCCGATATCGTTTTCGTTTCTGACTTTACCGTTTTCGATTTCGTTTCCGAGAAAGGTTACGGAAATGGTTGAGGCTGTTTTCCGATCATTTCCGACCGTTTTCATACCTACCTGTAAGCTTAGCCAATAAAAAAGGACTTTGCACAATCATTGTACTTACCGTAAACAGAATCTGAAATAGAGTTTGCCTTCTGTTCTGTCAAAGAAGCAAGTATTCTAGAAGCCGTCTTGACCTAACGTGGACCAGGGAGACTTGAAGACTTCTGCAACGCAAGCTTGGAAAGGACTCAGGAGGTACTGATTCCAATTGACCAGTTCAATGTTCAAAATATATGTTGCTACTTGCTACCATGGTTTCATAAGAGTTTCATTCTAATTAAATTAGATAGACGGACATCATTAGTCAATGTGTCCTAGCTCCCCTTGAATGGAGCACTGACGTTGCGTGGTAGAAATGGCTAAAACATATATTAGGCCATTTTTAGTGCAGGTTTCATGCATAAGAGTTTTATTCTGATTAAATTAAATGCCACAGGGACATTGTCAAAAAACAATACCATCTATATGAAACTGTAAATTGGAGGTCTATATGTTTCATCCATTAATCCGAGCTTATTTAGATTAGGTGACTTTTGGAAACCTCAAAATGAACCTCCCAGTAGGAATGGCCTTACGATCAGCAAAGCAGGTTCTGGCTCTGTCAAAAAAAACCTGATCAATTAATGTTACAGTGTACTCCTATATTATGATGATAAGATTAAACCTGGGTTGACCATAACCTAAGCTGGTCAAAACTGTTCTTCTGAAACGCGGTAGGAAAGACCAGCAAGGATCATGTCAGGAGAACCCAGCATGGTTAATGCATTCAAAGCCGACATTTTCTAAAGTTCTGATAATGAAATGTGAACTAATCTCCCTCTCATGTCTATCATATTGACAGCTTTGTAATTGCTTTTGACAGGTTCAACCGTTGCCTCACAGGTCTCAAGACTAACAAATGCCGTTCTCCAAGGGCTATAAGTTTTGTTGTCATCAGTACGAGCAAAAGGTTGATCAATAGCAATGGCTCATCTCCTGTTCTTGCCCATCCTGCAACTCTTGCTACTATACTGCACGAAATCTGCCCAAGCTCAGCTAAACATCAGTATAGGCTCCTCTTTGACACCCCAGGGGGTAAACAACTCATGGATCTCGCCCTCTGCTGATTTTGCATTCGGTTTTCTGGCGGTAGATGGAAACTCCTCCTCTTACCTGCTCGCCGTCTGGTTCAACAAGATCGCTGACAAGACCGTCGTCTGGTACGCAAGGACTAGCTCCAATGGGAAAGATGATACAATACCGGTACAAGTCCAATCTGGCTCTGTCCTCAAGCTCGCTGATGGAGCACTCTCTCTTCGCGATCCATCTGGCAATGAGGTATGGAATCCACAAGTCACTGATGTGGGCTATGCTAGAATGCTCGACACCGGGAATTTCAGGCTTTTAGGCACCGATGGCGCAACAAAGTGGGAGTCCTTTGGTGACCCTTCTGATACCATCCTACCCACACAAGTGCTTTCACTGGGGACGGCACTCCACAGCCGTCTCCTCGCCACAGACTATTCCAATGGCCGATTTCAACTAAAAGTTCAACGAGATGGTAATCTTGTTATGTATCCAGATGCTGTACCTTCTGGATACTTATACGATCCATATTGGGCTAGTAACACAGTGGACAATGGCTCACAGCTAGTGTTCAATGAAACTGGAAGGATATACTTCACTATAATTAATGGTTCACAGGTAAATATCACTTCTGCAGGGGTGGACTCTATGGGTGATTTCTTCCATCGTGCTACCCTTGACACAGATGGTGTGTTCCGGCAATATGTTTACCCAAAAAACATACATGCCAGGCCCTTATGGCCAGAGCAATGGACTGCAGTCGATGTACTTCCAGAAAACATCTGCCAGTCAATACAAACAATGGTGGGTAGTGGAGCATGCGGCTTTAACAGTTACTGCACCATTGATGGCACCAAGAACACGACAAGTTGTTTATGCCCACAGAATTATAAGTTCATCGATGATAAAAGGAAATACAAAGGCTGCAGGCCAGATTTTGAGCCACAAAACTGTGATCTGGATGAGACGACAGCAATGTTGCAGTATGACATGGCACCAATCGATCGCGTTGATTGGCCTCTATCTGACTATGAGCAATACAATCCCATAGATCAGACCGAATGCCGAAGGCTGTGTGTGACTGATTGTTTCTGTGCCGTAGCTGTGTTCGATAAAGCTTCAAGCACTTGTTGGAAGAAAAGGTTCCCTTTGTCGAACGGTAAAATGGATGTCAATGTACCGAGGACAGTTCTTATTAAGGTGCCTAGGAGCACCAATTCACCATCCGTGTTCAGCAGCGGCTCAAGCAAATGGAAGGAGGACCAAAAAGTATTGGATTCTTGGGAGTTCATTACTTTTTGGAAGCTCTGTATTGGTGAACTTTCTCCTAATCTCTGTTATGCTTTTTGGTACTTATTGTAGTATCACCTCGAGGAAGAAAACCCAGTTATCGCAACCGTCCAATAACTCTGGATTACCTCCAAAGATTTTCACTTACAGCGAGCTGGAAAAGGCAACCGGTGGTTTCCAAGAAGTACTTGGCACAGGAGCCTCTGGTGTTGTCTACAAAGGACAGCTGCAAGATGAGTTTGGGACTAACATCGCGGTCAAGAAAATCGAAAAGCTTCAGCAGGAAGCACAAAAGGAGTTCTTGGTGGAAGTCCAAACCATTGGGCAGACATTTCACAGGAACTTAGTTAGACTGCTTGGTTTTTGCAACGAGGGAACTGAAAGGCTGTTAGTGTATGAGTTCATGAGCAATGGATCACTCAATACATTCCTCTTCAGCGATACCCATCCACATTGGAGCCTCCGTGTTCAAGTCGCACTTGGGGTGGCACGAGGACTGCTCTACCTACATGAGGAGTGTAATAAACAAATCATCCACTGCGATATGAAACCACAGAATATCCTTCTCGATGATAATTTTGTAGCAAAGATTTCAGATTTTGGCCTAGCAAAGCTTCTTCCGGTGAATCAGACACAAACAAACACCGGCATTCGGGGTACTCGAGGATATGTTGCACCTGAGTGGTTCAAGAACATAGGGATTACTTCTAAGGTCGACGTTTATAGCTTTGGGGTGATTTTGCTTGAGCTTGTGTGCTGCAGGAAGAATGTGGAATTAGAAGTCCTAGATGAAGAGCAGACAATACTAACTTATTGGGCAAATGATTGCTACAAGTGTGGGAGGATTGACTTGCTGGTAGCGGGCGATGACGAGGCAATCTTCAACATAAAAAAGGTGGAGCGCTTCGTTGCTGTGGCACTGTGGTGCCTCCAGGAGGAGCCATCGATGCGGCCAACCATGCTTAAGGTGACACAAATGCTTGATGGAGCAGTACAAATACCAACGCCTCCTGATCCTTCCTCCTATATCAGTTCACTTGCATGAAAACAGTCTTCCTGTTAATAAATAGATTGTAGTTTGAAGCAAGAGCATGCTTTAGACTGATTCCTCAATAAGGCATTGTGTTCGGGCACTGATGCTTACCTACAATAAGTAGCTTACATATCTATGAAAGATGCAGATAGATGCATGTCACTATGTGTATCACTGACTATGAACCTGTCGGATTAAAACATTTTCTTATATAGAAAGAGATGATATTAGATATTCTTGACCATGAACTTATTTCATCTCTTCTACAACTATATGGTTTCTGCAATTGGAATAAAAAAAAGCTATATGGTTTCTTGAAATGTTGTATATATGTTCTTATCAGCATATATAGTATTTTACATCTTCAAAATAACATGTCCGTTACAAAAAAGAAAAACGAAAGAAAGAAAAGGAAAGGAACAGAAAAATGTACTAAATTAATATTCACAAAATAACGAGACCACTTCTTTGGAGATATAAGTAAGTTGGCCATTCAGTTAGATGCATCTCTACAGTAATGTGCAGGACCGGCCATTTACTTTATCAGTTAAGCTAAACTACTGGATCAAGCATGTACTTATGTAATAGAAGTGTGTAGTTCTTAACAAAAGTCTGTTACTGATACAATCTATTTCTGGTGGGAAACAAACAAAAAGCATAGTGCATATACAAATTGTGAGAGAAGAACAAACTAACAGGATTTGTTTTAACTGTACCTTTATGGGGTCATTAGTGATAGAGGGAATTATGTTTGAGGTATGCAGAACAGTGTTCATTGCTAACTGGAAAACAGGGAACATGAAACACAATGTTTCAATCAGCAATGCAGGACCTGATTGTGCCAGATCTGATTAATATTAAATGGATTCTGGCAAACAGATTCTAGCTGGTTTTAAAATGATCATAAGCTGGCCAAAACAATTTTTCCAAGACACACAATTTTTCTGAGACACAGTGTTCTGAAACATATATTTTCTTCTCTCTTTCATCTTCCTAGTCAATGCATCCAGAGCTCGCCCTTTTCTAAAGTAGTACTGAGGAAATGAATTACTGATGAGGAATAGTCTGAATGACAGGATTTTGTTGAAAAGGTAGTGTCACGCCCGGAATTTCTATCCAAAATTCCAAACGCTTACATGTGTGTTAAACCCTCGTCCAGGAATCAACCGAGGCACACAATGACAAATTAATAATAGAGTTCAAATAAAAGACTATTTAATATTCGCAAATAAAATAAATTATTACAGAGGTGGATAGTTCCTCCCAAAGAATAACATTCTACGCAGCGGAAAAGAAAAAAAACGATAACAAACTACGGAACAGCTATGGCGACTCCACTCCACAGGCATCTTAACCGAGAACAAGCCTAATCCTCCAGATCATCACCTTCACTGAGATACTCCTCTTCTGATGAATGAATATTGCAAGAATGAGCATATGACATACTCAACAAGTCACACAGCAAATATGCAAGTGCACAGGATAACAAAGGATGGCATAATATAGCTCATTTGCAGAAACAGCATTTAATAAACATTTAAGAGAATAGTAAAAACAGTTGAATAATTAATCAATATTAAATAACACTATACAACACACCCATGTTGCATAGGCCCAACCATATTTGAACAACCAACCCCAGTTGAACAAATTAAACCTCCAAACCAGGAATTATCCATTCCAAACCAGGAGTCCAATTAATTATCACATTATTAACATTATTGAGTAGTGTGAGACTAATCACGAAAAACATTGCTCAACTCACCCATAACCGCGGGTACGGCTATTCGAATAGTTTAAACTCTGATCAGAGGTGTACCACTGTACCCACAAGACACAACCCCACATCATGTCACCATGTGCCTCAATACCACCACGGTACCTCGGAAAGGAGTTGTGACAATACCCCTCGCACAACATAACCCATTACAGCGCACCTTTCCTGGATCATAATCACCCCCTTATAAACAAGGCATGGACTCCCCAGCGACCCCCGTGGACTTCTCGCCACTTCTCAGTATGACGCACTATAATGAATCACGCTATACAAAAGATAAAGCCGTTGCCCACGCTGGCTTGTGGTTGGCACGATAAATGTTTCACAACAGTAGCTCGCGAACCGGTCCTTAATTGTCATGAGCACAACCATCAAAACCATGTGCTCACAACCCACCTTAACCAGGTTTTAATTATCAATTAATTAACATCACACGATCAGCCATCGTGAGCTACCATTTAATAACCATCATTAATAATAATAACATAGTTTATAATTAATCCCTTTAATTAGCTATGTTTCTAGGCATGGCTAAGCAAACTTACATATAGCATTTAGCTGAACCAATCCAATATATAAGGTTCATGCTAATCAAATTATAACCCATAGGAAAATAAAGTCATCTTCGGCCAATAAATAACCGGGAAAGGTTCACCACCCGATGACATTCGAAAACAATGCATAGTTGAAATAAAATAATAGCTTTAAACGGGTTCAACATGCTCAAAGGGTTGTTTGGGATCTGTGTGACTTGCCTTGGGCTTCCGCAAACGCTTCGGAACCTTCCTCAAAGGAAACGCTCTCCTCCGGAACGTCGGAAACTAAAGCAATTAAACAAAATCAACAAAACAGTACAAAAACAAGCATAAACAGTACATGTGGATATTTTTAACATGTAGATCTTGATTTTAAAAAAATTTAGCAACTTGAACCACCTAAAACGGATCTACGGTTATTTAGTTATGATTTTCCGAAGTTTTAATCTATTAGAAAATCGGGAAAAAGAAAAGATGATGACGTCAGCATGACGTCACCCACGGCCGGCCGATTAGGGTTGCAAGCTCGCCGGAGCTAGGGACCTGGGCCGAGCGATCGGAGGACACCTACGCGTAGAGGACGACGAGGCGAACCCAACGGTACTCACCACAACGTCTACCGACGAACGATGACGGCCGGCGACGAAGAGGACGGCGGCGGCGGCTCGGCTTGACGACGACGGCGGACTCCGGTGGTCGGCGGCGAAGAAGGACGGGCGACCGAGGTTCTCCTCACCACAGTGCACCTAACGGCGGCGGCGGCAAGCGGCGGCGACAACGGGAGCGGCGCGGCGGCGCGACTGAAGACGGCCGGCGGCGGCGGCGAACAAAAACAACGCGGCGACGGCACTACGAGGCACGAGAGAGCTCGGGAAAGGGGGCAAACGAAAGAGGGCGACGAGGGGATGCTTTATATAAGCTTGGATTGAAGAGATCGAACTCCAAACGAGAGGAATCGACTCGGGAAAAATCCAAACTCGGTTTTTAGGGATAAACTCGAAACGAACTCGATTCGGAGAGAATACTCAACGGATTGCTCCGATTCTTGGGGGTAAAGATAGAGGAGAACGAGAGGATAAAATCCCCTCAAAAACCCGGAGGAATCGGGGCCGGATTGGAGCGGATTTGAGAGGAGAAAGGAGGCGGCTCGGGCAGCTCGGCTAGGCCGGCCGGCGGCTGGAGGTTGAAGGAGCTCCCGACAGGTGGGGTCCACCTGTCGGTCTCCACAGGAGAGAGGAGCGGGCGGCGTCGGCTGGGCCGATTGGGCCGGCTCGGCCGCGCGGGAGAGGAGAGATGTTGGGCCGAATTTGGCCCAACGGCTTAGGGAGGGGTTTTTTGAACTTTTTCAATAAAAACAATTTGTGAAATATTGTTTCAATTATTAAAAATACTTCCCTTGCTCAAATAATTCCCAGAAAATTCTAGAAAATAGAAGAGCAAGCATAGTATTTAATAAAATTTTATCTAGCTCATTTTTATGTTGAAAATTTTCCTAGAAAATTAGGGTTTAGCTTGTAGGCTTTTAAAATAATTTCTAAAAATAATTTAAAATATGCATTTTTAATTTAGGCGATTTTTAGGGCGTGACAGGTAGTAATTGCATTTGAGAAGTACAGCCTCAGCCTCACAAGTTCTGGACTTATGGTATTCAACGTTTTTACTTCATGTGACATCTACCAGGAAACTGCACTGTGCCATATATCTGTAGACTCAAAGTATCACGAAGAACAGTAGGGATTTATTCAGTCTAGTATGGAAATTTCCAAGGTGATCAAGACTGACAAATTTCGTTCTTTTTTTTTTAGAGCTACAAATTTCATTCTCTAAGGGCTATATGTTTGTTCTCATCACAAGGGACAAACTTCTCTTATTGACAACCAAAATGTGGCAAAAAACTGTTCTAGCAACCAGCATATTCCACAATCCACATCTTCAAAACTACACTTGCATTTTCCAGGAGGGAAAAAAGGGAAAATAAACTTCACTACCAATATTGACTTAGCTAGATAAATTCTGCATAAAAGCAAAAGTCTATCTTCAGTTAATAGGCATTGTTAGGCTCTCTTAAGAGGACACACTCAAACAAATCCACGAACATAAAACTAGCACCTCGATTCATCGTATGCCAACAACAAAAAGAAAAATCAAATCCTCCACAATCCCGTTAGGCTGACCCTCTAAATCCCCTCAGTAGATGAGACGACGCACCAAATTAACCAAATGCGATTCTACTTGTACAAGAGTAATTTATTCGGCATTAAATCGATTCCCACATAGCGAATTCTACCCTACCTGACGCGCAATTAATATTTTGAGAAAAAAAAAATGGGTGAAAACATCAATTGCAACAATCATATGGCACCCGGACCTTGTGGAAGCGCGTCAGGAGACCACCGGTCCGGCGGCCGCGGCCAGCGCCCAGAAACTCCCATAGGCTGTAGCCGCTGAAGCCCAGTACCCCGGCCGGCCACTGCCGTGTCGCCGCCGTGCGCGGTGGGTAATGTCGCAGATGGATACGAGGAAGGGCAGAAAATAGCCGAACGCGCACGAACGGTCCTTAGGTTAGGGGGAGTTGTGGGATGTGGCTATAAAATGTTCAGTTTGATTAGGGGAGACGAGAGTTTTTCGTAAGACGGGGATAGGGAATTGAGTGACATTTTTAATAGGGTTAATTATAATCATGCCATTAAAAATTTACTGTTTCAAAATATACGTGGGCATGGGTGGTAATTCGGAGGAAATTCCTCTTTTAATTTACCTAAACAAAACTTAACCATCTATTTTCATTTAAGATTTATCTAGTCTCTAACTAAATTCTCAATGAAATTTTACCACCTCTAACAAACAAAAGATTGGGACTAAAAATCAAATTCCCATGTTAATCTGACCATCAATTTCTAGAATTGATGTCTAAAATCTCAATCCTCTTCTCTCAAGTTGCCACACAAGCTGGAGTGGTTAGTTTCTTATTATTTTTTTTAACCTTTTCAATTTAAAATTTAAAATAAAACCATATACCCTTATGTTATAACGGATAATTCTGACATTATAAAATAAGAAAGCGAGACATTTGCAATATAGGTATAATATGTTCAATGAGGGATGCATGGCTTGCCTTGCTCCGCGCTACTTGAACCTCTACAACCACTTCGAGAAAGACGGGAACGAGCGGCAGAAGAGGGAAAGGGAGGAGGGGATCACGAGGATCGTTTATATAGCGGTGGGAGCTCAGACTTGGCCGGTAGGGGGTGGATTTTGTAGCGGATGTGGGAGAGGAGAGAGAGAGATGTGGCCGGGATTCGAAAATCGAATACCACGCCCTCCACAAGCACGAAGCGTGGGGAGAGTGGGGTGCGGGGGCGTGGAAGAGGGCGACATGTGCAAAGTGGGCGCCGCGAGGTGGACGGGGCGCACGGGGCGGCGGTTACGCCCTCTGGCTTTGCCTGCGAAGGTTGAAGATGGGCCCAACAGTGGTCCTACCTGACGGCGACCCAGTGTGATATCCTGGCCCAATTAGGATGAGACCTTTGTGACCTATGAGTGTTGTGTGCGCTCGTTTAGTACCACCTTGCTAGTTTAGCAAGAGTGGAACCAACTTATAAGGGCTTGTCCTTCCAACCATATCACTCCTGGGTTAACCCTTTTACACGAAACGGGGATGAAAGTTTAAGTTGGATAGTATGTGTAAGTGGGCCTGCCCGTCAGTTGGGCTGGGCTACACGGTTTTGGAGGGAGGGTTGTTCTAAATGGTATCAGAGCTGACCCTCGCCGTTGCATGTACGGGTCAGTGTGCAAGCATATGGCGCATGGAGCATGTGGACACTGGACGTGTGCTAAGGGGGGAGTGTGTTCCTGGACATTTCCCAATGTGCATGTGTGGCTATCTGGGTAAGTTGTGTCAACGGGGCATCAGGTCCTTGGGGGGGTGTATGTAACATCCTGGCCCAATTAGGATGAGGCATGTGTGGCCCATGAGCATTGTATACGTATGTTTAGTACCACCTTGCTAGTTTAGCAAGAGTGGAACTAACTTATAAGGGCTTGTCCCTTCAACCATATCACTCTCGAGATAACCCTTTTACACGATGTGAGAATGAAAAGTGTAAGTGGAGTGGTATGTATAAGTGGGATAGGCTAGCTACGCGGTTTTGGAAGGAGGGATGTTTACACCTAGGGAGAGATGGGGCGCGGCGGCTGTAGCTGGGCTGTGGCTACGGGCCGACCCAAAGGAGAGAGCGTGTGCGCGGAGGAGTGGGCTGAAAATGGCCCACAGCCGAAAAGAGAGATAAAAGGAGGTTAACTTTTAATTTAATTTCAATAATTGATTTTAATTATTAAAATTATTTTCTTTGCTCAGAAAATTCCACTAATAATCCTCTTAATGTATTTAAACATGGGGAACTCAAGAAAAATCCCACCATGCTATTTCCAATTATTAATTGCATTTATTAATTTGGGTTTAGCTCGAGGTTAAATTGAATTATTTCTTGAGGCAATTTATTAATTGAATTAAGGCTAGAAAAAGAGAAAACTTCAGGGTGTGACAGTCTGCAATCTTCTCTAGACATGCTACCATACAATTATTGTGTTGCAGTCAAGCCAATACACATTTCCGCAATCCGTATGATCCATGAAGAATGAATGATATGAGGGTGTAGATAATACCATAAATTATAGCTAAAATGACATTGCTCTACAAGTTGGTGTGGAAGCCCTTAACTATTGATGAAAATGCTGTCATGAGGATTAGCTACAAGGTGATGGCAGTCAAGGCTAGATCAAGGCATGACGCCCTTGTTGCACTGCCATTAGCTACCAGCGCAACTTTTGTCGGCGAAGTCATACCGTTCTTGGTGAGATCTGGGTGCCCCCATATCCTTTGTCTATCGCACAAGAAGCTAGGCAATGCCTTTGCAACCTGCTACTGTCGTGCTCGGATGACAATGCAGCAAATGACAGGGAGAGGATATCTCTACCGTGCCATGCCGGAATGCCTTATCGTCGCCGGATATGCTAGAGCCATGACCGACATGGCCTTGTCACAAACACACCAGAGATGCCAGAGCCATGGCTAAAGTCGGAGTTGTCAGTAATGCCAAAACCATGATTGATGATACCTTGCCGCACCAATGTCAAAGTCACAACCGTCCTCCTCGACACTGCATTGGAACTGTGGCTGGCGCCAGAGACTTCGGATCCAAGGATCCCTAAGTCATTGAGAGGGAAGGGGTGGAGGAGAAAAACGAAGAAGATAGCCATGCTGCCGTCTTCTTCAAGCCTGTCACAAACATACAGTGTGCTTGGGTGGCTGCGAGGATGGAGAACAAGGTGTGGTGACTTAGATTTCTTTCGCAGGGTGGCAAATAGGGTTTTTCGAACTGACGAGGGACTAAATTGTTTTAAGACTAGAATGGCTAGGGACTAAACCGTCTTGACCTAACGTGGACCTGGGGGACTTGAAGACTTCTGCAACGCAAGCTTGGAAAGGACTCAGGAAGTACTGATTCCAATTGACCAGTTAAATGTTCAAAATATATGTTGCTACCATGGTTTCATAAGAGTTTCATTCTGATTAAATTAAATACAGACAGACATCATTAGTCAATGTGTCCTAGCTCCCCTTGAATGGAGCACTGACTTTGCGTGGTAGAAATGGCTAAAACATATATTAGGCCATTTTTAGTGCAGGTTTCATAAGAGGTTTTATTCTGATTAAATTAAATGCCACATGGGACATTGTCAAAAAATTTATGAATAGAAGGAAGGAAACAAAATCATCTATGTGAAACTGTAATTTGGAGGTCTATATGTTTAATCCTATCCGAGCTTATCTAGATTAGGTGACTTTTGGAAACCTCAAAATGAATCTCACAGTAGGAATGGCCTTACGATCAGCAAAGCAGGTTCTGACTGCGTCAAAAAACCTGATCAATTAATGTTACAGTGTACTCCTATATTACCATGAAAAGATTACACCTGGCTTGACCATAACCATACAAGCTGGCCAAAACTGTTCTTCTGAAACGCGGTTGGAAAGACCAACCTCAGGAGGAAAGAAACACATAGAAAGACTTCTGAACACGTATTTCTTTCTCTAAAGACTTCTGAACACGTCTTTCTTTCTCTCTCCATACAGGTGGTCAATGCATTCAAAGCCGACATTTTCTATAGTTTTGATAAGGAAATGTGAACCAATCTCCCTCTTATGTCTATCATATTGACAGCTTTGTAATTGCATTTGACAGGTTCAACCGGTTGCCTCGCAGAGAAACTTTTGGTTAGTCAAGTATGGAAGTGATCAAGACTAACAAATGCCGCTCTCCAAGGGCTATAAGTTTTGTTGTCATCTAGTACGAGCAAAAGGTTGATCAATAGCAATGGCACCTCTCCTGTTCTTGCCCATCCTGCAACTCTTGCTACTATACTGCACCAAATCTGCCCAAGCTCAGCTAAACATCAGCATAGGCTCCTCTTTGACACCCCAGGGGATAAACAACTCATGGATCTCGCCCACTGCTGATTTTGCATTCGGTTTTCTGGCGGTAGATGGAAACTCCTCCTCATACCTGCTCGCTGTCTGGTTCAACAAGATCGCTGACAAGACCGTCATCTGGTATGCCAAGACTAGCTCCAATAGGCAAGATGATACAATACCGATACAAGTCCAAGCTGGCTCTATCCTCAAGCTCGCTGATGGAGCACTCTCTCTTCGCGATCCATCTGGCAACGAGGTATGGAATCCACGAGTCACTGATGTGGGCTATGCTAGAATGCTCGACACCGGTAATTTCAGGCTTTTAGGCACTGATGGCGCAACAAAGTGGGAGTCCTTTGGTGACCCTTCTGATACCATCCTACCCACACAAGTGCTCCCACTAGGGACAGCACTCCACAGCCGTCTCCTCGCCACAGACTATTCCAATGGCCGGTTTCAACTAAATGTTCAAGATGACGGTAATCTTGTGCTGTATCTAGTTGCTGTACCTTCTGCATACTACCATGATCCATACTGGGCCAGTAACACAGTGGGGAATGGCTCACAGCTGGTGTTCAATGAAACTGGAAGGATATACTTCACGCTGACTAATGGTTCACAGATAAACATCACTTCTGCAGGAGTGGACTCTATGGGTGATTTCTTCCACCGTGCAACCCTTGATACAGATGGTGTGTTCCGGCAATATATTTACCCAAAGAGCAAACAGGCCAGGAGCTTATGGCAAGAGCAATGGAGAGCGGTGGATGCACTTCCGGAGAACATCTGCCAGACAATTCAAACAAAGGTAGGCAGTGGTGCATGCGGCTTCAACAGTTACTGTACCTTTGATGGCACCAAGAACACAACAAATTGTCTATGCCCACAGAGGTACAAGTTCTTCGACAATGAGAGGACATACAAAGGTTGCAGGCCAGATTTTGAGCCACAAAGCTGTGATCTAGATGAGACAGCAGCAATGGTGCAGTATGAGATGACACCAATTGATCGCATTAATTGGCCTCTATCTGACTATGAGCAGTACAGCCCGATAGATGAGACCGAATGCCGAAGGCTGTGCGTCATTGATTGCTTCTGCTCCGTTGCCGTGTTCAATAAACCCTCAAACACTTGTTATAAAAAGAAGCTCCCTTTATCAAATGGGAATATGGATTCCAGTTTACAGGCGACAGTTCTTCTTAAGGTGCCTAGGAGCACCAATTCACCATCCATGATCAGCAGCGGCTCCAGCAAATGGAAGAAGGACAAAAAGTATTGGATTCTTGGGAGCTCATTGTTTTTTGGAAGCTCTGTATTGGTGAACTTTCTCCTAATCTTTGTTCTGCTTTTTGGTACTTATTGTAGTATCACCTCGAGGAAGAAAACCCAGTTATCGCAACTACCCAGTAATTCTGGATTACCTTCAAAGATTTTCACTTACAGAGAGCTGGAAAAGGCAACCGGTGGTTTCCATGAGGTACTTGGTACAGGAGCCTCAGGTATTGTCTACAAAGGACAGCTGCAAGATGAGTGTGGAACTAACATCGCAGTCAAGAAAATCGAAAAGCTTCAGCAGGAAGCACAAAAGGAGTTCTTGGTGGAAGTCCAAACCATTGGGCAGACGTTTCACAGGAACTTAGTTAGACTGCTTGGTTTTTGCAATGAGGGAACTGAAAAGCTGCTAGTGTATGAGTTCATGAGCAATGGCTCACTCAATACATTCCTCTTCAACGATAGTCATCCGCATTGGAGCCTCCGTGTTCAAGTAGCACTTGGGGTTTCACGAGGACTGTTCTACCTACATGAGGAGTGTAATAAACAAATCATCCACTGCGATATGAAACCACAGAATATCCTTCTCGATGATAATTTTGTAGCAAAGATTTCAGATTTTGGTCTAGCAAAGCTTCTTCCGGTGAATCAGACACAAACAAACACCGGCATTCGGGGTACTCGAGGATATGTTGCACCTGAGTGGTTCAAGAACATAGGGATTACTTCTAAGGTCGACGTTTATAGCTTTGGAGTGATCCTGCTTGAGCTTGTGTGCTGCAGGAAGAATGTGGAATTAGAAGTTGCAGATGAGGAGCAGACAATACTAACTTATTGGGCAAATGATTGCTACAGGTGTGGGAGGATTGACTTGCTGGTGGCGAGCGATGACGAGGCAATCTTCAACATAAAAAAGGTGGAGCGCTTCGTTGCTGTGGCACTGTGGTGCCTCCAGGAGGAGCCATCGATGCGGCCAACAATGCATAAGGTGATGCAGATGCTTGATGGAGCAGTACAAATCCCAACGCCTCCTGACCCTTCGTCCTATATCAGTTCACTCGCATGATAGAAGCATTCCTGTTAATAAACAACAGATTGTAATTTGAAGCAATAGCATTCTTTAGACTGATACTTCTTCGATATAGGGCTTCGTGTTAAAGGCTTAAAGCATGATATGAGTCATGTTATTCAGGGCACTCATGCCTGCCTGCAACAAATAATGTTTACATACGTATGAAAGATTATGATACAATGAGCTCTGAGCCTCTGAATCTGTTTGAGTCAAACATTTTCTTACTGAAATAGATGACTTTAAATATGTTTGATCATGAAGTAATATTATCTCCTCTACAACCACATGATCCTGCAATTGGAAATTTGGAATCAAATAATCCTTGGCTACTTCTTATATGTTCTTATACTGAAAGAGTGTACATATGTTCTTACCAGCATATTTCACATCTATAAAAAAACACCTCCTTTTTTCTATTGGAAAGGAAAAGAACAGAAAATACACAAAATTAATATTCACAGAATAACTTGGCAACCTCTTTCATCGAGATCGAGATGTACTCCGTAAGTAAGTTGGCCACTTAATTAGACGCGTCTCTACAGTAATGTGCAGGATCGGGCGTTCTTGGGGATGCTCTAAAAAGATTCCATTTGTTCTACCAAATTACTTGGTCCTACGGACGATTAGACGAACCAAATAGTTCAAAACCCCATTAATTTCACCATAAATTCAACCATGACTGATGTATTCCCGCATACATTGAATCATTGAGAGAGAAAAAAAAAAACAGAGCACAGCAAAAACTAATCGTAGCAGCTTGGCACCCAGAAAATGTGAAGGAAGCGAGGCGACTGGGATTGTGGGGGGCGTACAGGTACAGGTACAGCTGGGTAGAGAGAAGCGCGGGGGCAGCCGGCCTCCCCCCCGCGACATGCCGATGGAGGAGAAGGGTTGGTGAATCGGCGGCGGCGGCGGCGGCGGCTGCTACTGGGGAATTTTGGTACTCCGGCATGGGCATCTCGCTTTGGGAGATGGATAGCTTGCCAATGAGGCGATGACAATGAATACGTTCGTGGGCTTCATGGGCCTCAAGGCCGGGCCAGATTGGAATGAACGGATCCAATTATAAAGTTAGCCTAATTACACAGTGCAAAAAGTTCACTTTTGTACCTTGAGTATGATTAATTGAAGTATTAATTATTGTAAATTTAAAAAATAGGTTAATATTATTTTTTTAAAAGATAATTTTTCTATATTTTTCAAAAAAAAATTGCACATTTACTAACTTAGAAAACGTATGGATCAAAAACGAGTGATTCAAACACACCTTAAATCCTCTTCGACAAAGCTCTAGATACATAAATATTTGAAGTTGGATATTCCTAGCTCCCACAAATTTATGGATATAGACCTACTGTTACGTTAACAATACTAATATAAATTATTTTATTTCCATTTTAGTTAAATTTAGAATTTTAAATCCATATAAACTTTAAATATTTAAAATTTTAAATCCATATAAACTTTAAATTTATCGTGGATATGTAAAGTTATGCTAAATGTGGCCTTAGCCTAATTACACGGTCCTAGTGAGCAGCGAAGGGCGGATGGGCTGTTAACTACCTAGCTGGGCCTCAGCCCGCTCAGGCGGCGCAACTGACGCCAGTGGTCGGACTCGTCAAGTCGCCGGCGGCAGGCACGGTGTCTCGGAGAGGGAGAGGGAGATAGAGACCAACCCTAGCGAGCAGCCGTAGCCTGTAGCCTGTAGCATGGTATCGCCGGCAGCACACTACGGTCTGTCGTCTGGTCATTGTCACCGCCCGCAGCCGCCGCCGTGTTGGGTTGCCACCGACGCCGCCGCCGGTCTGCCCTGACCTCCTGGACCTCATCCCTCCCCATGCTCAGGCCTCCCCCTCACTCAAGGGCGGGGGACAGCTGGCCTTGTCGCCGCCGCTCAACTCGGCAGGGACATGCCTGGGCATGATGATGCGGTAGAGGCCGGGGCGCGCGTTTGCCGCCGCGGTTGCGGTCGAGAGGCCAGGGAACGGAGGGGCCGGTGGAGGGGCTGCACGTTTGCTAGAGCCACCTGCTGCCATGTAGAAGGGCGGCGCTCCGCGGCGGTTCAGCCGGTGGTGGACCATACAGCGGCGTCGCCGGTGAGTGCTCCGGCGAAGGTGATGGTGATATGGCGCAACGAGTGTAGCTCGTCCATCCGTGCTAAGGACAGTACAACGTCACCACATCTGGCACCTCTTGCGGCGGCCAATCGGGCTACAACCGCACCCTTGCCGTCCATCCATGGGACTTGAAGTGGCGCGGCGACTCCACCAGAATGCATTCTAGTGCATTGCAGGTGTCGAGCATCACTGTCGTGAGGGTGCTGGAGACAATGCTACCAGCTCTGGTGGTTGTGCGGGCAGCGACGCCGCCGTTGCGGCGTCATCCTCCACATCTGGCAAAGCCAGAGGAAGGATACCGTGGGCCATGGCCAGCAAAGCTAGCACCACAGCCCCTGCAACTTCGAGGACGGCGCAAAGGAGCCCGGAGAAGCTTGTCGAGCTGCTGCATGAGGCGACGTAGATAGCGAGCACGAAGGTTGCAAGGAAGAGAAGATCCGACGTCAAGAGGAATGAGAAAACGTCGAGCCATCTTATCCTTAGAGTTACCTGTGAGTTCTTCACCTTTCTTGCTCAGCTGGTTAGAGCTGCGTGCTAATGACGTGTTAGAAATGTAGATAGTGAATAGTGAAATAGTTGTCATTTCTCATTGATCTCAAGGTCCATTTAGTGTAATACATCAATTCTCATTCTAAATGTAGCAATAAGGTTGATTCATTTCCTGTCAATAATGTGGTTTGATTGCTTTAAACATGGTTGTTAAAAAGGATTCATAACCATGATGGTTGCATTGACAAGGTCAAATAATGGCCTTTTGTAAAAACCTTAATAAACTCATGCCTAAGTAGTACCCCTGTACATGTAATCTTTTTATAGAATACCCAAAGGGATTAGAAAGAAAATTGACTTTGTGAGGAGAAGGTTTCTTTGGCAAGAAATCAGGATTTAGAAAGTAACACTTGTCCACTTGGTTCAATGGTGTGTGGTTTGCTCTCCTAGGTAGTGTTTGGTTGCTGGGATGGGATGGGATGGGATGGGATGAACCCATTTTTAGGGGTGTTTGGTTCAGGGGTAGTGGGATAGGTTGGTCCCTACAGAGGAATATTCCTCTCAGATCCGGGACCAATCGGTCCGGCCAAAACTGGCGGACGAACTCGTCCTACCTGGGACGAGCGACGGCGTGAAACCGCCGCTTTGCTCGTGCGCTCTTCCTCGGGAGACGGCGGCGGGCTCGGCGACGGCGGCGGTGGGCTCGGCAACGGCGGCGGTGGGGGGCTCGGCGACGGCGGCGGTAGATGGCTCGGGCGACGGTGGCGGCGGCGGTAGGCTCGACGACGGCGGCGGCGGCGGGCTCGACGACAGCGGCGGCGGGGGGCTCGGTGGTGGCGGATCCATTGGTGGGGAGGGCGGCGGCGGCGGATCCGGTGGTGTGGAGGGCGGCGGCGGCGGATCCGGCGATGGGGAAGGTTGTGGCGACGGATCCGGAGCGGGGGAGCTCGGCGGCGGGCCGACCGTGTGTCGTCGAGCTTCTCCGCCCGCCCGACCACGATGGTGGCCGTGCTCACCCTCCTCTCCACCGGCCTCTCCCTCTCCCTCTCCCGCGCGGACCTCGCCGCCGTCGTCGTCGTCGCTAAGCCGCGGCTGCTCTGCGCGAAGGCCGACCGTGCGTCGTCGCGCTTCTATGCCCGCCCGACCGCGATGGTGGTCGTGCTCGCCCTCCTCTCCACCGGCCTCTCCCTCTCCCTCTCCCGCGCGGACCTCGCCGCCGTCGTCATCGCCGAGCCGCGGCTGCTCTGCGCGAAGGCCGACACCATCGCCGTCAGCGCTCGGTTGGGTCATCCCGTCCGTCGTCGTCGCCGAGCCCACCGCCGCCAATGTCGCCCGAGCCCGCCGCCGCCGCTGTCGCCCGAGCCGTCTACCGCCGCCGTCGCCGAGCCCCCCGCAGCCGCTCATCGACGCCATCAAGGAGGCTGGTGGCGACCACGTCCGGAGGTGAGGGCAGAGGCGGCGTCGGCCATGGTTGTTGCAAACGGCGTTGTCGGTGGTTGCAAATGGCGCTCATCCCATCCCTCCCTCGTTCCTTGAACCAAACAAAAAACTGGGATCGTCCTATTCTACAAACCAAACATCCGAATGGAATCATCCCAATCCTCAAATCAGGGATGGTTTCATCCCATCCCACCTAGTCCCAGAACCAAACACACGCCTAAGGAATAAGGTGGGTTGGGTATCATAGATCTGGAGGCTATGAATAAAGCCCCATTAGGCAAGTGGCTTTGGAATCTTGAAAAAACCGAGGGTCTGTGGCAACAATTACTTAGAGACAAATATTTATCAAGAAAAATCCTAACAGCCCAGAAAACTAAAACAGGGGCATCACATTTCTGGCAAGGGCTCATGGAGATCAAAGACACTTTCTTTATCCATTGCTTGGAAAAAAAAAAAGCAGGAAATGGGGCCAACATCCTGTTTTGGGAAGACAACTGGATGGGGGGACCTCTGGCACAACAATTCCCTCACTTATACAGAAATACACACACGGTTCATGACTCTGGCCTAGGTAAAATAAAAGGGATGAGGGGAACATGATTTTTAGAAGAAATCTGACAAATAACAAGCTTTTGGAATGGAATAGCATCAAAATATATTGTGACAAACTAAAACTGAGTAAGGATAGGGATGAACTAATTTGGGGTCCGACAAAAAAAAGGAGTTTTTAGTGTCAAAACTTTCTACACTGCAATGAAAATGCAAGAGACAGCCTCAATGGTTGGGGAGGGGGGGGGAGCAGATCCTCTGACTTAACTGCACATGCAGTTGAGTCACTGACATGTGGGTCCTACTTTGCTATGGCCCACATGTCAGTGACTTAACTACATGGCGGTTAAGTCAGAGGATCCCTTTCCCGGCACGGTGGGGGGATGCATAAAAAAAATTCGGAATATCAAAGTACCTCTTAAAATTAGGATCTTTGTGTGGTTACTACTGAGAAACAACGTGTTAACTAAAGATAATTTTAAGAAAAGAGGATAGAAAAAAGGGACTGAAACTTTCCAGTTCTGTGATAAAAAAGAGACAATACAACATCTGTTTTTTTACTGCCCCATGACTTTACTTGAAATGTGGTGGCTTGTGCTTTCGA